CGGAATAAATTCCAGTACGCGTCGTCAAGTTTCGCACCCGCCACGGGCATCCCACTTCCTATCCCTCACCTTAGTTCAAGTTCGGAAGCTTACGAAAGAAAGCAAAACCCAACGCAAGTGCAGACAATCCAGTTTCGCGCCACTTGCGATATCTTTCAATCATAAAGCCGCATTCATAACCTCAACCATACACGTGCTCATTCAAAAGGCGCTAGTGTCGATGAACGAAAATTCGCGCCATTCGCCATTCATATTCAATAATCGAGCTGCATAGATTATTGTACAGTTTTCTCTGCAACACATCACGTCAAACAAGAATTATGTTCTACAAGTAATAATAGTAATACTAGTCAACCTTGTCATCAATAAATAACAGAATAAAAAGCATATACTTTAGCCATATCTTTATTGTATTATTATAATATCCCTTCCACTTGTGACCTGTCATCGCTACCACACAACACCTGTGGTTTCTGAGTTGTCAACGGCATCAAATTGTATCCGTCGAACCGGCCTTGATAAAACAAGTCGGAACGACGGGTGCATTTTGTACAGACTCAATTAAAAAAATTTTTTTTTATATGATTATTACAAATGTAAGTTTTTTTTTAATTTAAAATTATGCATAATATATCAGATCACTGTGCCGAAATTGTAAAAACATGTATAAAAATTATTAAAATTTTATGAAACTTAATGTTCGAGATTGTATAAAAATTAATTCTATTAATCTGGCTCAGGAACCAAACGTTTAGAATTAACTAAGAAACCACTAGATGTGTGCGAGAATGGGTGGGCTGCTGGAAAGGTTAATGCACTAATTTAATAATTAACACAAATAATTCTTATTGCTGTTTATTCCATTTATTTTCAATTTAAAGATGATTAATTGTGATGAGTTTATAAATGACCTTTACGTTTCTCAATAATGTGGTGTTGTGATATAATTCTTTTGAAGAACTAGGAGGTTGTGAAATTCATGATCCTCTGGACGATACGTGTGTGTACAAAATGTATTCGCCGTTCCGGCTTGTTTTACCAAAATCGATTCGAAGGATACAAATTGATGTTGTTGACAACTCAGAGATCACGGGTGTTGTGTGATAGCGATGAAAGGTCACAAGTGGAAGGAATATTATAATAATACAATATAAATATGGCTGATGTATATGCTGATTATTCTGTTATTTATTTGATGACAAGGCTTGACTAGTATTACCATTATTAAATATTGAAATAACTTTTGTGGTAGATTAATGTACACTCATCTATGCAGCGTGATGGTTTGAATATGAGCGCAGAATGACGCGAAGGTTGATTCGTCGACACTCGCGCTGTTTGTATGAGCACGTGCGTAATTGAGATTATGGTTGTAATAGAGCGCAACACATGTAGTTGTTGTTACTTGATATATATACTCGTATCGTAGCAAGCGTACCTTGTTCTGATATTTGCGCACTGCAATAAATTCAGACGGAAGTAAAAGTTTGAAGGCTTGTTACCTCGTGAAGGATACTGCTACGTGTTGCGGCTGTTGTCAGCGGTTAATGATACGCTGCGTATATTTATAAGCGTCAAGATTTGAATTAAGGTGAAGGTTTACCGACAAGACGCGCATCAGCTGGCGCGAACTTGGTGATGCGTTTGGAATTTACTCCGCACTGTTTCTCTGGGGAAAGCATCGTAAGGCTTGAGTGAAGACGCGAACGCGCCAGCCTCGTAAAGCCTAAAGGTACGAGTACACCAACCGCGACCGTCTAAAATTAGTTAGTTAGTGGAAGTCAAAAAAGAATAATAAATATGCTCAATAATCTGGATTCACAAAACTATTTTGGTTTAGAACAATAATAAGTTGTAAAATATTACTTATCATTTTATTCTACAGTAAACATCTAGAAGAGTTACAAATAAATATGGTGAACATTTAATTTATTTTTAAAAATGTCGATGAAAAGAGTTACAAAAGCAAAAATCTTCAATATTGTAAAAAGTTTTTGGGATCCCAAAACTCCGGGTGCATATCTGACCTCAACGCAGTATTTGTTTTCGAAAATCCGAGAAACTTACAAACGTTTTAATTTGTTTTATAATAATCAGAATTTTCTATACAATCTGACTATAGGTAAAAAGTTCATTTCTATCTTTCAAATACTTTCATTATAAAAATAATGTTTTTATATTTAAAAGAATAAATTTATAAAGAATTAAATTGTAGAAGAATTGTAAAGAAATATTTAAAATATATTAACCAATTATTTTAAACAAATATAAATTTAATATTATCAAAATTATTTATTTTTTAGAATCTAATAAATATAATTTTACATACCTTTATTCATTTTTTTATCAATATCTGATACATGAACTGGGGAATCTGGAAAACTAACATGATTTTGTTTACATTCCTAGAAAAAAAAATTATTTGTCAATGTAAATACGAAAAATATAATATTAACTTTATAAAGTTTTAATATAATAACTTGAAAGTTTTTCCTATCTTCGTAATTAGATACTTAAAGTGATTGAACACTACAAAATTGTAATAACAAACAATTAGTTTTTTTAAATAAGCAGTTAACTTACTGCTTGGTTATAAGTAATTAATATATTGTTAAAATATAATACAAATAAGACGAGATTGAGTAGTATTTATTTTTATAATTTTCTTGGGCAAAATTTAATGTTTCATCGGTCGTTTCAGAAATAACCAACGCTGTACTGTTCTTTTTATATATTTGCCAATACATATTCAAATATGCAACTAATGCTTGTTATTTATGAATTATACAGTTGTATATATTGATTGAATAGGTAAAACTTACCGCAACTATTTAATTTATTACGATTGTATAGATTTGCAATTTTATTTCTTTCTTAAACAAAATCGGTACTCATGCTTAGAATATTTATATTGGTACATCATTTTTTCTCTTTATATAATTGTATTGCACAATGTATATCGCCATTTTGACAAAGTTTGAAATTATTATATTCTTATTTTACTGTACTCTATTGGGTTTCAGGTATTTATACATTATACGTGTACAATCGTATATTTAATATTATATTTATTCCTATAGTACAAATTTATAAATAATTTTATATAATACAAACATATTTGAACATTTTATTTATTTATTAAAATAAAAATATTTCTAACATTAATGTCTTTAATTGTCATTTTATTAAATGAATAAGAGAATTTAAAATAATTAAATTAAAAAAAATATATATATATACAATATTTAGGATTTATTAAAACCAAAAATGTAAATGTTATAAATATTTTCTGTGATAAAATTTACCTTCGTTAATTTCTTACGTTTCGATCGGTGTTTATGTTCTCCCATTAGGCGTCGTATATTCATATGCATTTTGTAATTAACTTGTGTACTTAAGTCTCGGTCATTAACTGCATGTCGACTATAACTTAAACGTCTATGCTGCTTTTTAAAATAAACATCTTAATAATATAAATAAAACGTAAAAATTAGTTTAGAATAATATTAAAGTAATTATAACTTACTCGTTTATAAGGTTTACACAGTTCTTCAGCAAGAAGATGATGTATTCTTGCATCTGTAAGATCCTTTTTAGATGGATTATATTCTAATTCTTGAAAATCAAAATTCCATCCATTTTCAATTTGACTACAGCTTGAACAATAAACATTTTAAATTTTAATTATTTTAAAGTAAATCTATTATAAAAAATTAAGTAATTAATATTTATTTATTATTAGGAATTAAAAACTATTTATAATTATTTTTAAAAAAATACGATTGATTATAGAAAGAATTATGGAAATTTATATTCATATTGTTTATGATATAGGAACTTGTATTATTATGGTAAATTATGTTTTACGTTTAACGATTTAATTTTTTTTATCATTCAATAATTTAATTTATATATAACGAGAAAATAAATTTTTGTATTATTCCATATCGAAAAATAGAAAGTTTGTTCAATATTTCTATAAAACTGATCTATTATATAGTTAAAATGATTTGAACGACAATGTTACATATTTTAAACAATCGAAACATATTCATTAAAATTTAAAGATTTTTACATAAAGATAAAATTTCAGGATTGGAGCACTTTCTATGAAAATTAATTTTCTGCAATTTGTAATTGTTCTAGCTCGCGAAATCGTAAATATTGACTCCGAAATTTCTTGATTATTTAAAGCCTTTGCTTGCGAACGTTCTGTAATGTTTATCTCCACATGTTTATATTCGCGTAGCAACTATGGTAGAATTCTCCAACCGTCTAAAGCTTGTTTCCATACAATTCTGGAACGTCCTAGAGCTTGGACTTTGACGGCATAGCAACATCTATGCATTGTTTCCAGCTAAGTAATCTGCCGTGCGCATATTTAAAGGATGCACGCGACAAGCCTAAGCCTCTTAGTGAAACTCCTTCAGTGAAAACGTCATGGCACAGATCACAGCCTGCCTTAGTAGGATTGCCATGGAATAGTCGATATATTTGAACAGAGCCGCCATGGAGCGACTAAGCCTTCAGTTTCGTGCCCATATTCAACAGGCTTCTAGGCTTACTGTAAATTTCTCAATAAATCAGTTATCAGTCATATATTGAAAGCGCAAACATGCCGGGCTCGTACGGCAAATATTGAAAGCACGTACGCGCTAGCTTCGTACGGCACTGATGGTGCGAATGCATCAACCGCGATAAGTACTATACGTTCGAAAAGCTTCCGCGAACGGCTGAAGCTTTACCAAAGGACACCAGCCACAAGCGCATTCTTGCTTGAGTCAACTATGAGGAGATGCGCTAAACTGCAAGGAGCTAGCACACTCACTACTGTCTTTAGATCCTGTTCTCCAGATGAGGCATTGGCCTTCTGTAATTTCCGCCAAGAGGACCCGGAGATTTACAACCTCCAACCTCGACTAGCAGTGCGCATTATCTCCACGCGAGGAAACCACTAAGGAACGGTAATATCTCAACGATTCCCACCAACAACGTAGAATGATAATTATTTGTTTATAATTAAAAACTTAATAAATAGCATGAAAAACAATTGTGTTCATTACTGAATTGAAGCATTAACCTCTCACTTATTCACATTCTTCCATCAGTAAAATGGTAAATATGGGCTAATCCAACCATCTTGGTCTTTCGACCACTGGGTGACAAGAATTCCGAACACAATCTTGCAATAAATATTAATAAATTTACAAATGTCTAAAAACAGAGTACCGGGCGAGGAGGGTCAAGTAACTAAGATTAGGTGTGAGCTCCCGATGTTGATAGGAGGAATGCAGGCTAGTGGACAAGATAGTACATGTATTCAATAAAGAGTAGGTTTGTTATTTAGTTTTCTTTTATTTATATAATTGCACTAGTTGATTATAATGAGTTTTATTTTATGATTGAACATTTGCTTTTCTTGATTTGTATGTGTTATTACCACTGAGCGTTCACGGACGTCGCATACACAGGAAGAAGTTGAAGCCTTGCTGTTCCTCTATATGTAATACACGTGTAGATGGAATAATACACACAGAAGAGCGAGTTCGTAAACCCCCGCGCTTCCTTGTATATGAGCACGTGGCGATTGCTTGAATTGCTTGTATTTGTGTTTTGCAGATAGCTTTACGTATCTGCAGATTGACGCGTATGGCTTGTTATAGTTATGTATTAATTAGGAATGGAACGTTACCTCGTAGTTCTGCACGCTGTGTATAGCTATGTTTTGTCTTGTTTTTTTAATTTGTCTCGTGTGGCTCCTCGCAGATTGATTGTGTATACTATACGAACTGATATTCGTAGTTCTCGATTCCCCTTTTTTGTATTACACTGCTGCGAGTGTATGATTTGATTATCTAGTACTTGTGTTGAATAGATTAATCTTGGACTTTTGCGTTTAATTGACTTGTTCATTTTCTGTTAGATAAGATAAGATAAGTGATTGTGTCATGCCGGCGTTGCCTTTTTTAAAGCCTTCTCTCGACCACGCGGTGGTCGGTGAGAATTCCCTCTCTTTTGGTGTCGCCAATCAGAGTTGTCTTGTCGATCATGACGTTGCAAATGAGATTTAGTCTTATTAGTGTGCCCAATTAGAATTCTTCTTTATTTTATGGTAATTCTAATCACGGCGCTTTTCGAGTGGTGGCGTCTCCCACTAGTGAGTCTTTCCAAGATGGAGGCTCCAATGAGAGCGGGTCTTGCTCAACTCCCTTCCATGATGAGGGGTCTTGATGCCGCGCTTTTCCCTCTCCATCCTATCATTGTCGCATGCATTTCTTGTAATCATGCGCGTTGCGATCGGCCAGTGTTGTGAAGGTAAGGTGTAGCATTGGTTTTGAGTGTATCATCTGGCTTGTATTTTTCAGACTAATTTTATGACTTTTGCACGCCAGATGTTTTATGACTTGTCGTCGATAGATGCTTTGTGGCGAGGCCGTATAAAATATCTCGTAGCAGTAGTTTTATGACTTGTTTTGCTGGACACTTGGACCTTTATTCTCGCCAGATGTGTTTATGAATTGTATTTTCTTTAGATATTCGAAGTTTTGCTGAATTGTTTAGATTTAGTTAATCCGAGGCGCGTTTGAATGTTTATTTCTCGAGTAGGCGAGAGTTCGCTTTTTTCGGAACTCTTATCTCGAATTTTCCAGATGTTCAATGAGCTGGGAGTTTTCTTACATTCTCGAACAAAAAATAATAAATTTAAGAAAAAGTTTTTCTTTTTCAGAAATTTAGTAGTTATAAATTATTTATTACTCTGATCAGATAGGATAGAGATGCTACTTAATCCATTTGTAATTTTTATAAGACTCGTTTAAGTAAAAATTATAAGAATACATATTTTGCAAACGCAATTTTGCAAAAAATTGAAAAAAAATTTCATATTAAATATTATAAAAATTATTTCTTTAATAATTTTTAATTAAGAAATCGTACAATGAATTTTTATTTTATTCATTTTCTGTGGATAAATCTATCTTTTATCTATTTCAGTTCTTACTTGCTTTAGCTTGAATTCCAATATATGTAATTCTATAAATCTTATATCAGTTATATAAAATCTTAATATAAGGTGTAATTTTCCGTGATTAGGAACGATTTTATGAAAGTTTCTTCTATATTTATACCATCTTAGATAAATTATATTGAATAAATTCGAATTATCGACAACTCTAAATCAAAGGAATACCAGATAATATTAATATTATCTTCTAGTATAATATATTCTATAGCTTTTATAAGAAATATATTTAAAAAATCTATCAGAGGTTTAGATGAAGTTTATATAGTAATTAACTATTCATATCTCGAAGCGTACAAAGTTTAACAAATAGAAGTGCTCATACAGGTTGCTTCGTGGTCTTTTCCACCAGATAATTTTAGATAATATTATCAGTGCTTTAAATATGAGTTTTAATTTATAATTTTATATTTTTTAAATTCTCATATGATCTATATTTGTATCTGCTGTATTGTTGATTAGTGGAAATATTGCTTTTACATCTTTTTCTGTTAATTCCGTAGTTTTTGGATTACGAAAGTTCTCCACCAAGAGATTCATTTGTTGCTATAAAATCATTTATGGAGTATGGAATTTATGGAATATTTCTTTAGTTTACTCATAATGAAATTGTTGTGCAATTAGTTACCAAAACAGATATAGAAGATTGTTTGTAATTTTACGTATTTGATTTAATATTCTTTTACATATGTACCATCTATGCTTTAATTCATTAAATAATAAAGTTTCTTATTTAATAGCCGAGTGTTGTGATCCTTTATTTAATTATACATTATTCTAGTTATCTTCATTCTAAAAAGGCTATTTTTTAAAATTATTATTTTAACGGGATATTTTACTCATGTTGCTTATGTAGTTAAGAGCTACTGCTATATTCGCATTTTTTAAACCATTAATTAAAATAAGATAATTAAAACTTTAAAAAGTGAATATTAGTATGCCCTGTAGTTGATATACTTAATATTCGTTTTTCCTACTCTTCAGAGTAACAAATCATTATTGTGTTATTTTCATTTTCAATTTATGGTAGCAGACTCTCGTCATGCTTTTTTTCTTCTTCCTAGAGTAAGAGGCCTTTACTGTATAACTATTCATAGTATTATAGTAATTAAACATAAACTCTTTAACCAATAATCATATAAACACCAAGAAAATATATTTCAATTGATTTAAATGGGTTTAAATGGGCATAAGAGCTTTTATTAAATTTAGGCTTTATTTTATTATTTATATTCAAATATTTTTTCTTTTTTATATATTCATTCAGTTTGATTGTTTATCAATATTTGGAAACATTGTTATTTTTGTATTCTTTTTATATAAAAATTTATTAAGATACATACTGTTTAAATTATAAATTAAAATAAAAATCCCACTTTAAGAAGCGTAATCCAAATACAAGTCGAAATGGGTAGAGAAAACTTAAACGCCTGTATAAACTGCGGTAATTAATTTTATAATTATAATTAGCACAAAAGCAGTTATAGAAAAAAAATGTTCAACATTATTTAATATGAAACTGATCATATAAATACATGTTTATATTATCCGTTGCGAATTATATTTAATGCTATATCTGCTGACTGTTCATGTTTCAAAGGTTATGTAAATTATTATTTACAAATTTCAAAGGCATTAAATATATTTTAAGTGTTAAGATTACCTTGCATTAAGCTGTCCGGTGTTACTAGAACTTTTAAAAATAGTAGACATACTATCTATTCCATTAATATTACCTAATGTTGAAGCATTTCGACGTATGCATTCCAATGCATCCTTCATAGTCAATTTAGAATAAGTTTCTAAAATTTTTGGTTCTGCTCCATAATAGTTTCTTACAATATATGGACGAATATATCTGTTATCAAATCTCTTAAACCTAAATGAAACCATGCTTTACTTGATATTGAAGTTATTAAAATAAATTACTTTTTTTACTGTGTACTTACTTATCACGAACATGATAATTTCCATGTTTACCCAAAATATCTTCGATTCCTGCCATAATATGATCTATTATCTAAAAGAGTAATATTAACTTCAAGTAAAATGTTTACTAATGATATTTAATTTAAATCAATCTATTAACTTAATTAAATTAATAAAGTATTTGGATTTGCAATATCATTATACTAATAATTGATATAGTAAATGGATATAAGTCTTTAATTGATAGATTAATCGGCAAGCTTAAATCAGGATTAGATACAACATTAAATACTGATAGTTATCGGAGAAATTTCATTTAAACGATATCTTTATAAGGTATACATTTTATTAATTATCTTTTGTAGATGAGTAGATGTTCGAGTTATGAAAAATCTCGAATAATTCTTATACCCATTATTTTAAGTTAAAACATTTTTTTATCTGTTAATTAACCCTTATAATTTCATTATGCTTATAGTTTATATGAGAAGTAAACATTCTATGGCATTTCTTAGTACCTTTTAGTTACTATATATTCTGCTTCGTATATTCTTAAAATTTGAATATTTTAAATTTATAATTTTTTATTTTAACTTATGATTTATGATATTGTAAATTATTCTAACTGTGATGAAATGTGTGAATGTATAAGCAAATCATTTTTTTAAATTATTTAGTTTAATTTAATTTAATTTATTGTTGCATATTATAAAACAAATAAATATTACAATATAGACAAATTCTAGTTTAGTTGTTTTCTTAATTAAATAATATTTAATAAATTAAAGAAATAAAAACTTTTAGTAAACTAAACTCTTAATATTTTTATCATTTTGATTTAGGAGAAATGGTTTTTGACTAGTATACTTATAATTGATTATTGAGATATTTATACAAGTTTAAAACTACAGATATAAAACCTTTGTTTATATTTCCTTATAGTTAGAAACATTTTATAGACTTGTCGTTAATAAATATTAACCGTATCAATTAAAAATTTAAATCGGAATATTTGTCTACCTATAATCGAAACAAATAAATGTTTAATTGATTATTATCCATTCTGTAACAACAAGGTACCAGTAAAGCTGCCGCAGAAATGTTGAAAATTTTTTTATAATTAGTAATGTCACTCATCACAGTATAGATTTTAATTTCTATTTTTATTTAATTATCTAATGAAAAACCATAATCTTTACGTATTTTTTTCTTTTTACTTTTTCATAAAGCGCGTGTTATTAAATTTACACTGATTTTATAATGTTTATACAACTTTAAAGTATAGAATATAATTAATTAGAATTATATGGTAAAGTACTTGATATTACATTTTTTCATTATTTAATGTATTATAAAAATTTAATTTCATAAATCTATAAAATAAAATTGATATTCAGCAGTATAAACACAATTTTTTACTTTAAGTTTTAATTTCTTTCACATGACTAATAATTGTAAGTGTTCGAAACTGTTTGATTTCCTGGCTCGAACTCTCAATGTTTCGATAGCTTTATAAAAATTGTCGGCTGCCCTAGCAGATGTTTGGGAAGGAGTCAAGTGGAAGGGCTGTAGAAATACAGTGTGTGCTTCTTCAATAAGTATGGTTTATTACGATTAATTTAGAGTTACATTATTGATGTGATGGATTTATGCGATGGCAAGGTGTATCATATGTTCAATAACGAAGATGCAGTTGGTTGGACCTGTTCCTGTGGTGGATGGTTTATCTACACCAGATGGTCCTTGATGATGGTAATGTTGTTGACCTTGTAAGTATCAGTACCTGATTATGCACAGTCCTATTAGTGAGTGTGTTTTGTGATATTCATAATAGCGTCTTGCTAATCTTATAAGGATTAACAACGATTTATTCCTTAGACTTTGTTTACTCACATAGGTACAGTAGCCTTGATCTGGTTCTGTGATGAATGGTTCTCTATCACAAATGCTCGGTGTGAATGACGAATTATTTACCACCCCGAATGCATCGTGTGGATGTACAATTATATCGCTATCCCGAATGCTCCGTGTGGATGTTGAATTATTTCGCTATCCCGAATGCTCCGTGTGGATGTTGAATTATTTCGTATGAAGGAGATAGTATCGAACCAGGTGTATTGACGCATCTTCTTTCTGTTGTTGTGAGTAGCTTGCAGATTGACTAGCCTTCATAGGTGAATAGCATGACTGACTGCGTTAATGTCCGAAAATCGACTACTGCGCCTCATGATGCATTTGCCTTAATGTCTACGCAGTATTTTAGTATTTTAGATGTACCGGCTTTTCCGAACTTCCAACGACAGTTTTCTTAAAAGTTATGATGGTTGAATCGTTTCCCTAAAATGACAACTGTTGATGTTTTCCTCGAAATAATAACCGTCGGGGGTTTTCCAGAAATGATAACATTCGAAATTCCGAGAATCTCAAACAGTAAGAATTTAAAAATAAAACTAAATTTTTTGATTTGATACAAAAAATAGAATTTTTTTTATACTATAAATTTTATAAACATAATACTTACTCGTTCATGTATTCTTTCGTTCATAGTTGGTTTTCGTTTTTCAGCTCTTTTCACATTTAAAATTTTGACTAAAGGTTTTATTGTTATTCCCTGTAAATAATATAAACAAGTTTATTATATTTTATTATATATTATAAAGATTTAATTATTTTCTAACTTTACTTATAATATTGTTGACAATGACAATGAATACAACTAATACAAGCAACAAAGATAGTGCGTAGAAAAAACAGGGATTTGAAAAATGAGGATATAGAATTAATTTAGATGAGAAACGAATAAACATAATGATGGAGGTTTATATTGTGTTTGATTTGTGTAAAAAATAATTAGAATTGATAAGTAAAACGTCAAACATTTAAATTAATTAAACAAATAGACATATAGCTGATTAAATTATAGTGATCCTAAAAAATTGAAACAGAAGATATGTAATACTTTTAAATTTACGTATTTTTTTTAAATAAAAAAAACATGGATATAGCATAGTTTAATCCAAGGAAATTATTATGATCCTCGAGCAATTTAGTAGTAATACGAAATCGAAAAAAGAAAATATATTGCGTTAAGTAATAATAAGATGTACGATAAATGGAATGGAAAAATATAATATTTATACGATCAAAAATGTTACAATGAAACTATTAAGTTTAGATTACTTTTTGTGATATATATAATATTTAAACCAATTATATATAATCCATGTATTCTTTTTATTTTATATTATTTGTACTAAAATATATTGCATAGAAAGACCTTAGCACTATCGATTTTCTATTAACTAATTTCTTAGTCATATATTATTGTAATTTTTATCATTTTCATTTAGAAAAGATGGTTTATTAGTTACAGTAAAATAAACTGGGAAAAACAATTATTTCTTCATAAATTTTGTATCGTATATTAATTTATTAATTGTATTGTTTAGTATATTATCTTGTGGAAAATATTTAGCCCAATACTGACTTTTGTAACTGATAAACTATTTTAGGAACTTATGTCTTTGATGATATAATTACTATAAAATCGTTAAATATATATAGTTCGAAAGTTGAAAAATAATAATTTCATATACTTTATTTCATATAACTGATAAAATCAACCTCGAAATATCATTTTTTATTTTCGATCATCTTTGTTGAAACAGACTTTAAAGTATTTTAAGAATATCAAAGGTAAACATATAGCTAATATTCATTATTTTATTAATGATTTATCAAATCATTATAGTAGTAAGATTCTCTTGAAACATTAAGATAAAATGTGAGAATAAAAGATAAAAGTATAGAATATACTTATAGATATTCGTCGAGATTGCGAGAACAGTTTTATTGTCACAACTTCCCACGGTCGACACTCGAGAAGGTCAATACATCTGGAAAACACCCGTGAATAGTTAGTTTATTTATTCTCGCTTATCTGAAAACGTGCTCATGATGTTCTGGTACAGTTAAACGATCTTATTGTTTACTAGATTATGAAAGAGTATCAGATATACGTAAAAATATGAAGTACAAAACATTTCCTAAATTTCACTGCAATCCAAAACCCTGCACCTGAGATAACAAGCAATAGGCGTACGTGCGCACTCGGCATCTTAAGACACTGCTTACATTGTTCTTAACTATGCCGAATCTTGTCGATCGCGTTAGCCAACCAACCACGCTCTAGAGGATTCCTCATATCGCTAAGTTCCATAGGAGCGAGAGACGACCAATAGTAAAAGCCCCCCCCCCCTTTCCGACACTTTCCCGATTAGCATATTCAAAACTAAACCCGGAAGGAAGTGGAAATGAAGGCGTGCATGATCCATCATGCTGCCCAAAGTCATAATGCAATTTACCGACACTTATTCTTATTCTAACAGATAAGCCAAACTTATTCTTATTCTCATCAGAAAAGTTACGACTACTCCCGAGAAGGAGGAACAAGGAAAAGGTCGATCAGCTGAGTCTTGTAAAACATCTTACTACGGCTGTGAATCAATATCCCGTTACCCTTAGTCTCATCAAGCTCTAATTGCATATGTACTGAGATTCTCGTCATCTCAGCAAAAGAGGCAAGGAAGATGAGAAGAAGTTCAAATGCAGCAATTAGTGTATGGAAACTTCTCATCAAGCCTGTGAGGAGAAACTGGGAGCATCACACTACAACTTCAAGTAAGTTCTTACCACTAGTGTTGATTCTTCACGTCATGGTTTACTGTGAAAACGGACTGCAAGCTGTCCGACCACAGAAGCTTCCTGCGTATGCTCACTACACAAGACCAGCAATTCGCGCCATACAGTGACACGCATTTCCTCTAACCACTATCATAGGCACGTGCTCACTCATACGGCCCACTATTCAGAGGCAACTGCAACACGTGTTAAGATTACGACACAAACAAGAATTGTAGTGTTCGTTCAGAACACAACAAACGATCATAACCTCTCGAGTAGTAATATTCAATAGAATATAACCTGTCTCTTTTTACAATAAATCATCATCATCAATTTGGAAATAAATTGAAATTAAATGGAATAAACAGCAGTAAGAATTATGTGTTAATTATTGAATCAGTGCATTTACCCTTCCATTTCTCCCGCATTCTCCCACACAACATCTAGTGGTTTCTTACTTAATTCTACACGTTTAGTTGACGAGCCAGATTAGTGGAATTAATTTTTATAGAGATATGTAGAAAATATTAAGTTAAGTCTTTTACATATGGCAATTACCATTTGGTGGTTCAGAGTTTCCTGTTATTTGAACATGAATATTTATTAAAATAGTTATCTAATAGTATTTGGCGCATAAATGATGTGGAAAAGGTAATGGTATATAATTGCACTATTTCTCATAGAGATGAGATAAATTATTTTCTCATGTGTGATTAAGTTTACTATTATACGAAAGTAATTTTTAAATTTTATCTGCTCATAAAGATAATTGCTTAAGAATTAAATAGGAATGACAGCAGCATTTCATTCAAGATATTTTCATGGAGATAATTTTTCTTATAGAACTTAATATTAAGATTATTAAATTATAATTTGTTATGATACTATAGATATTATGTTGGATTTTCTCCTTGATATCAAATAAAGTAGTCAATTTTTTTGTATCTTAATTTGAGTAATATTTTTTATTAAAAATCAAATTTTATAATTTAAGAAATAATTACTAAATTTTTTGATCTAACGTAGAAAACTGAACAGACTATTATACGATTAGATTTCATTTTCATTTTTTAAGCTAGACTACTTTGTTTGTTAAATGTAATTTCTTGATACTAATTTCAATTAGATATTAGTTGTAATAAATAATCATTATTAACATAATTCAATCTAATAAAAGAACGTAAACAGTAAATTATATTTATTAAACATAATTCAATAAAAACACTTTATTTTTTTCTGTTAATAAAGAAATGTATTTTATTAATAGAATTGAAGTTCTTCATAGAAAAAAATAATTGTATTTATTTTGTACAAAATGTATTCGCCGTTCCGGCTTGTTTTACCAAGACCGGTTCGAAGGATAGAAATTGATGCCGTTGACAACTCAGGGACCACGGATGTTGTATGATAGCGATGAAAGGTCACAAGTGGAAGTAATATTATAATAATTCAATATAAATAAGGCTGATCTATATGCTGTTTATTCTGTTATTTATTCGATGACAAGGCTTGAATAGTATTACTATTATTAATTATTGAAAAAACTCGTGTGGTGTATTAATGTGTTTGCGGTGGTAAACGTACACTCATCTAATGCAGCGTGATGGTTTGAATATGTTCGAAATATTGTAGGGATGTAATTCTTGGCGAGATGTAGGGGCTGTACAAGAGTCGTGAGAGTTGGTTAATTATATTTATTATACAATTTATTACACTATTTACATATGGATGTTATAGAATCTTCTTGTATCTTATATGAAGATATGATTTCTTGATCGGCTTCTTATACAGGAGGTGTCACTACACAAGATGCCTTGAAATCATTTAATTGATGTAAATTGCACAGGTATATAATTGCTGCACACTTCTAAGTGGAGAGTGTGAGATAATCTTGATGATTGTCTTATGGCCGGTTCTATTGCCGGCTCACAATAATTGAAGAGAAAATGTATATCAACGTACTTACAGCGATATCGTAATTCAATCTGATTCAGCGGTGAGAGGGACACGAATCATGTGCGGCGTGACTCCTTTACTCACCAGCATGCACTATTCTTGATCTGCCTTTGCGGTGAGAGGGACACGAATCATATGCGGCGTGCCTCCTTTACTCACCAGCATGCATTATTCTTGTGGCGAATTACTCACTTATTTCTGTGTTGAGTGAATTTTTAGATTTGGCTTTCTTGGACACTTAATTACTATAACTTGACCTTTCCCTAGACTGCTCACTCTCACTCACGATGATTTGTTCTTTTGTCTCGGAAGGGTGCCGGTTTTCTTCCTTAGTCCAACATTTAAAGCTTCTTGTCGCGAACCCCCACTCAAGGGGTTCTCGTTATAGTTTTCCAATCAGAGCGTGCCGATTTCCAAACGTATGCTGATTGTACACGCCCTTTTCCCACTTCCGAGGAAATTAGGCATTAACAGGGGGATGTCCGAAGAGCATCTTTGGTGGTAACGCCTTGCGTGGAAGTTTGTCCCCTTTCCTGGAGTGACCATAGTGGGGGTAATTCGTGGTCAAGCATTTTTGCCTAACTGAAGTGAGCGGCAACGTGTGGCTGACTTGAAAACAATGCCTAGTATTCTTGGTAAATGTATAGGCACACGTGCGACTTAGAATCTCGAGAGCCGCGCGTGCCGAGTTTCGGGTTGCAACGAATTTAAGAAATGTTTTCCATTCAATTGTTTTGAAATATTTTAATCATCAAAATATGCTAGTATAAACAGTCTAGTCGGGTTTTGATGTGAGCTCGCAAGGGTCGTTTTATTGCTTTAAAAATAATCGCTATGCTGCAGGTCAAAGGCCATAAATGGCTGTTTATGAGTTCACAGATGTACAAACCTTTTCAAGTCTTATGTGGTCTTGGCGAGACTTTCTTAGTTTTTCGTATCCGTTTGATAATCCCCCTTTTGTTGATTATTGAAGGTTTTTCTAGTAAATATAATTCGAGAGATTTTCTTTTCATTCTCGAACAAAGATCTATACAGATCTTAAAGTTTCATAAGTTTAGCATTTGTAAAGACCACTTGTGTTTGGTGAACAAACAAAAAATATAATGAAACATATATTTAAATCTACTATTGCACGTAAAAAATTAAAGTAAAGTATACTGATATCTAAATTATCAAATATGTGGGAGTAAAATTTTTTGACAATTGTTTAAGTAAGAATAAGATAATTTTTTTGTTACACTATATTTATAATTTATTATAAAAATCAAACTTTAATTTTAAACATTTTGTATAAAAATTAGTGTGTGTATTTTTAATATTTAAAAATGTAAATTATTTAAATATTGACATAAAATAAACGATATAATTTAAATCTCTCATTCTTGAATTTCATACATTTTCAAATTAAAATTGTACCAATATACAAATAGGTAAATTTCTAAAATTCAATTATATAATAATACGTTCACAAGTGTATACAATATTTAAAAACAGAAAAAATAACATTGGTAATTGTTCGGCAACTTCGAAGAATTTAAAAATGGGAAAAGTACAAGCTCTCGGACGCTTATGTTTGTAAACATTGATTCTGCGAATTCGTAAATAGTCTATGCCTTATTTTCTAGTATCCTACAATATTTTCGCATAGCAACGCCGATAAAAATTCTCGAACCTTACAAGGCCGTGTCCTTCTTTACTTCTCGAATATTCTGGAGCTCAGTTTCTGACGTCATCAAGATTTTCGGCCTAGTAACAAGCCCAAGCGCAGTTGCCAACGTTGTAAGCTGCAATGCGAATATTTAACAGCAGCTCGCCAGGCACGGATGCTCACTGTAATTTTAACAATCGTTCACTCATCTGTTATTTCTCACAGTATTTCTCAATCAATTAGGTATCAGTTATTACTCATACAGCTACTAAACTCAGCCGCATGCCTGGCAATCAGTCTACAATATACACCCACAAAATTCTGCCATACTCTGCAATAAAAAGCTGAAGTCATAATAATTATAACCACTTAAATGCCCCAAATTAAGCAGTCATTCAGTTCGCAGTATCGGTAGTTCATAAAGTGCAACTGTTCAATTATTCGTCCAAGCTAGTCATCTACGCCCTAGCCACGTTTCGCACGAAGTCTTTGCCAGGAAAGTGGTGCAGTACGCTCTCTCAGTGCAGTCATTGCAGGGAACGTGGCGAAGTACGCTCTCTCAATGCAGTTACTGCAGAGATCATTCGTTCGCTTCTCCAGTTCGCAACAACAACAATCCTTCAAGGGCAGATTGCCGTTCTACAAATAGTCGACTATATAACTCATGATACCAAGTCCTTCCGCTCTCGAAGGTATATTATTTATCTTTCTTGCATATAACTAGCTAACTAATACTCCCATACTTCCTTTTGAGTATGATCGATTCGTCATGATAACTACCACAGAGACATTAGCATACTCCTCCCTTTGAGTATGGTTAATTCTCTCTGCTAAGCACTGCTAACTACCATTACCATCTTCCCATGCTCATCTGATGAGCATGGTCGTCTGTCCTTGCTGATCCGTACGTCAGCATAGAATGCAATAATCAACATCCATTGATAATCCCTATAACATCAACGACATCGCCACCATTACGGAGAAGCAGCGTCACCATTGCAATAGAATAATTTCCTCTCTCTCACTAGAGGTAACCATAGAACTGCAATATTGTAACTGTTAATAAAACAGAATAAACGAAGTCTAAAATCGAAGTTACACACTGTTATAACAATAATTATCGAGGAAATTATTAATATAAAACTTTAATATAACTATAATATTTATTTATAACAATATAATGATATAAAATATCATAAACTACAATTTATTTTATGATTGAAACTCTTACCTGAAAGAATACTGTGAAGTATATCACTGCAATTGTCGTTGTAACAAACATTGGTTGTAAAGGAATATGTTTATTATCAATTAAAAGAACCAAAGCAAAAGCCACAGCACCACGCAAGCCTCCATATGACATAACAAATTTTTCTACTCGATTTAATTTATGCAATCGAAATTGATTAGCTATAGTAGTTAGTATCATTACACCTTAAAAAATTAATATTAAATATATATTTATTTATGTATATTTTAGTTATAATGTAAACAACCTCAATTGGCAATGATTTTTTTATCAAAATTTTAAGACCTTTAATAAGCAAATACATTATTGTAGATATTTATTCCACAAAAAAATATAAAATCACAAAATTTTAATGATTATAAAGTTAATAAAATTATTACTGATATGATAGTATTTTTAGCTTTTACAATTTAAAATATTCTAAAAAGTGTATACTTTTGTAGATATGGTAAAATATATTATTTTACTGGTTGAACGATAGTATAATGAATTATTATGATACTTAAAAGTCTTTATCTGATTGGGCGCCATTCTAATATATACAATATAAATACTAAAAACGTTTTAATTCTGTTTCGCTTCCATTGTCACACTATTTTATGCACATCGTTGTATTTATAAAACTGAAAATTTGAAACTTATTGAATTTGTCACAAAATATTTTTTACATTTAAGTTGGGTACAACTCAAAGGAATATTTTTTGAAATATTAAAACAATAAGATAAAATAAATCTATTTGTTCCTTTCATATTATACATAAATATATTCGAGTAATTTCTATTTACTAAAACAGTAACATTCTTAAAATGCTTGACGGTATTCAAATTATTAAGTACAATGACCTTTTACTTGTTTTAATTTAATTTAACTATAGTTTCAACAATGCAAATTTGAATTTTTAAGTTAATTACTGTATTAAATTTCAGCTACCAGAATGATCCGAAAAGTAAAGTGGTTGGTTTAGACCGTACAGTCGGTGTAATGGTGGTGACGGGTGGAGGGAGTGAGAGGTTAATGCATTAATTCAGTGTAAACACAATTGGTTTTACTGACTTTTATTTAGGGTTATGTTACATTAGTTGGTTTTTACCGATCGTTGGGAGAATTATCGAGATTCTGATAGTTATCATAAACTGCAGGGCGTCGTCCGGGTGTACAAGATGAGACTGGGCTATTTGTACTGAATGCGCTTAATTGTACTAGCGAAACGTAACAGTAATTACCGAAGGAGAAGTTGCGAGAGACGCGTGGCCATGGGTGCTCTCATTGGCGATATGAATTGTGTGGACTATCTGGTCAATGTCGGTGGCCTCTTCAACGGTCTGATAATCATCAAGTTGCAGAGGCCTGACTGATAAAGTCGGCGCTGTGTCGCAATAATGATGGCATCGCTAGAGCTACCACACAATATCGGCAACCTCTTCTACAGTCTGATAACAATCAAGTTGTAAAGGCCTAACCGATAATGTCGGCGATATGTCGTAATAACAATAAATGATGATAAGTAGCTTGCTGGTGATGCCAGACTATGTCGTCGCCCTCAATGCGGTCTGACTAGAGTCAAGTTGTGGAGGGCGCACGGATAGCTGGCCAGCAATAGACAATAAATAATGTAAATAAATTAGTATACCTTAGACAGACGTGAAGAACTTATAACTGTTATGACTTGCACTATTTTCACTTGACTTACTCAACAAGACTGATTTTCTTCGTCGTCTGTTGCTGCTTATGCATGGTTTCGTACATTTAGAGTTTATAATTCTTGGAAATTCTGTCAAATTTTCAGAAAGCAAGCATTAGAAGGTTCGATAATCTTCCTTTGTCGCTATGCGGATACGGTATAAGACTTTAAATACGTCGAGAATTTTTGTAGCGACTACTTCAAATATTACGCATTATAATAAATTTAAATGTAATGGAATCACATATTAAACAAAGCAATATATTCTCATTGCTGGGTACTTCAATCCTGAATAATTACTATTTGGAGCACAGAAGTAAATAGATTTCTAGCTAATAATGATTTTCAGTTATTCATATTAATTTAATGTTAATATAAATTTCGTTACATTTTTAGATTTTTAATGAATTATATTAATTTCCAATTTTAAATATGAATAAATAAATATAATTTAATAAATCCTATGTGTATCACTATATATAATGTATTATTAAAGTATTTGGTTAAAAAGAATGGAATCATTTTTAAATTGTAATAATTTATATCTTACCTGTTATTCTATAAATAGAACAAAGTATTACAGTTATAACAATGAAACAAGTATTCCAATTGTGATTATTATTTACAGTTGCAACTCCAAGAAACATAAATATTATTGTTTCAGAACTACTTGATAACATTTTCATTGCATATTTTACTGTAGTATGAGATTTATAAGAAATATTTGCTTCCACATAATTTTTCATAGTAATTCCACAAAATGTGATCCTATAAAATTTAAATTTGAAATATGTTAAATAAATTTTAAATTGAAGATGCCAAAATACAAAAGCTAATCTGTTTAATTAGTAAATTAAATTGCTCCATTTCATTTTTATTGAATATTTTTAAAACATAAATTTATAAATTTTATAATTTTCATACTCCTCCAAAACATTATTTAAATTAATTTTATCAGAATTGATTGTAGCTTCTTCTATATTATAATCTATTTTAATATATGAATATTTAATTGTGTAATTGTGTAATATGTAATTGTGTAATGAATATTTAAACTTTCATTTAACTTTTTTTATGAATTTATATACAAGTTAGATATTAATAACTTAAATAAATATTTTGTTGTAAAAATTAAAAATAAAGAAAAAGTAAAATTCTTAAAAATACTCTAATTTTATAAGGAATTTTCTTACTACTTAAATAAAATAGAAAATTTGAATGAGAAATATATAACTAATTGTATTGCATATAAGGGAAAATTATATATTACAAAATTTGTAATATAACATTTGGTTTAAAATATTTATTGAAAACGCTGATTTAAAAAAAAAAAATAAATATACCATAACTGATCGTTCTACTTGTCAGCTTATTTTTTGTTTGATTTGTTCTGATTTTTATGTTCAAGGACAAACTATAGTTGTACTGAACATTAATGAATACGGTTATTCAGGAGGCGCACTTTTCAAGAAAATTAACTCTTGGAGTAAAACGGTATATATTTTTATTTGTGTATTATTAATGACGTAATATTTTATAGATTGTGCGTATTTTCATTTAATTATATATTTTATTTATTGTTAAAAAGTAGAAAACTATATGAATTCACTTATATTTTTAATAATTAAATTCCAGTGCTTTTGTTTTTGATATTTGTTTAAATTTATAAAATAATATTTACAATGATTTAAAAAGTTTTCTTGTCTACCCTATCGATGTATTAAAATTTTATTAACTTTATTAACTTGATCTATACTAATAACATCAGAATAATCAGTTTTAGTTGTGAAAATATCTACATATATTTTCACATAAACTAATTTAATTATTCATAGACTGATCAAAGTGTATTAAAAGGATTCTTTATTCAATTTTTAAAAACAATTAAAAAAAAAGAATTATTTAAACAGAAGAGTATATGTTATTAAAATATATTTATAGTAAAGAATATAATTATTATCTAGAGAACATAATATCCACGTTTGATTTTCAAAAGGATTTTTTTTTAACTATTAATTAAAACATATTTAATATATTATCTCGTTAATGCGATCTTTATTAAATATCATATAATTAAAATTTGCTATCAATGATAAGCGCTTCGTAAGAGTTGAATGAAGGAACTATAGAAAGCTGGAGAGATTGACCATATAAAAGGCACAGTAAAATGGCTTAAGTGTAAAAAGTTATAAAACAAATAAGATAAGAGAAAAACTAATTTAATAGAAAAATCAAACAAAGGTTATGTTCAAAAGAATTTAGAAAGTGAAAAGCCATCTGAGCAAAACAAAAGATATAACGTTTATTATTTGCAATAGCTTTGCAATATAGTATTTTTGTTTTGATTCACATAAGTACAGCAGCGTCTATTAAGTTTATGTATTGTATATGGATTAACCATGTTGACTGATATGTTTATTAAATGTTTATATTGTCGACATAAATATTTTTAAATGAAATGCACTACTATAGATCTAAAATATTTATTTACACTCTTTTTCTAATTAATTTTTAAAATTGAAGCTGTATTATGTTTAAAAATGGGCTGTAAGATTTACACAATTGGTCACTAATATTCAAGAGCATTTATTAACACGTTCTTTCTAATGTTAACATAATCTTATATTAATAAAATTGATAAATTGTAATTCATGTATAATAAGATTGTAGAAAACATTGCACAGGAATAAAGAAAAAAAGCTCTATTAATCGTGTTTATGAAGGATATTTATGTAATTAGTTAATTATTATACAAGTTTTATTAGCCATTCATAATTCATATTCTATGGATACTATGTAGACATAATATATATATTATACAGATATAACTTAAATGCTAGTATCATGTATTTAATTTTTTTCAACGATTCTTAAATAAATTTTAAAATAATCTCCTAGAATAAATTAATTGATACCACGAAAACAGTACAGCTTAAATTGTTAACAACTCTTCTTTTCTATTTCAAATTTAAGATGAAATATTTATTTTCATGCATGTGTACTAATTAACATTAAAAAAATAAATATAATGTCGAAAGAAGTATTTTTAGGATATGGTAATAGATAGTACATAAAAGTTATAATAAAATTATAAATAAATAACTTATTCAAAATAAAATATACAATGATTGTTTTAAATTAAAATATATAAGTATTTATGCATTATTTATTCAGAAATTGATTTTATTTATTTTTTAATTTGATTCCTAATAATGTATTAATATTTTGTATATTTAAATAAAATAAAAACAATTGAAACTCAAAAATTGTGAATATATTTATTGAAAGAATTTGTGTTTGGATAGAGAAACGTTTACGAAGAAAATTTTTATTACTTTAAGACGATGTATTTATGAATTATCATAAACTATTTATTGCTTTCATAATTATTCAGTGATATATGTTAATAATCATTATCATAAGATAAAATTATAATTCACAAAAAAGTTAAAATATTAAGTAAAAATAATACGTACGATAATATTCCTGACATATGAAATATTTCAGCACTTAAATATGCAAGATATGCCATGACGAAAATGAAAATTGGTTCTATTACACGAACTTGGTTTGTAAATCTTGTAACAAAACCTGTTGCAAAGCCCCAGATAATTCCAATGATAGTTCCTCCAATAGCTACAACGAAAAAAGATATAAATCCGGATAAAACATCTGAATATGAAATTCTGTGAGGGCCCATTTCACTATAAGTTTCAAACATGTGATATAAGACCTGAAAATATAACAAAGTTAAATAATTTATAAAAGTATTTATTTATTAGATTAAAATTTTATATTTATTCACAATGTCAAATTAACTACATATTTAGTATAATTTTATGAAGATTCTTGAAATATATATATATTAATATTAATTTTAAAATATTTCGCTCTTTTTCATTATTTAAAAGTATATTCTTATAAATTTTGAAAATTCTGGTTTATACAAAAAAACTATAAGTATTCGTAAAATTATTAAATATTTTTAATTCTAAAGATAATTACTTTTTTATGTAGGTTTTCTTTATGTTGGTTATACATTTTATATATCCAATAATTCAGTCACATATAGCGTAGATTTATACAACTGTATAATTATATTTTAAATGGAATAATGAGTAAAACATTATTTTAAAGGTACTACTGATATTAAACTAAAATTAAAATTTATTTAAATAAGAAAAGAATTAATAGTATATATAAATATAAAAATTTAGTATTTAATGAAACTTAACAATAATTCTCGAGGCAATAATAGAAAAAGCCAATTAATCGTTGCATGATACAGTCAGTGGATGCTGATTGGTGTAATTAAATAAATGGACTGCTACCGGTCAATGTTCATATGGAAGCGTTTAGAAAATAATACTCTGATACTTTACTCTCCATCCATTATTATGAATGGCACTAGATTTTACGTTCGAATAAAATATAATGTATATTAGTATCAAATTTCTTAGCAAATTCATTACTTAAATGTACACAATTCATGTTACAAAACAATGATAACTTCCTAAAGGCATCTCACAGCTCATTGCACACTTACTTGTAAATTTATGTAATTGATTGAGCTTATTCCAAACTTATTAAATAGACTTAAAACTCTCAGTTTTATATTAGATTTAACCGCATTTAAAAAGATATAGTTATAGAACCGAAAATTTAGCTATGCCGTATAAAATGAAATCTGTCGTCTAAATTTGTATAAAAAAACGTAACGTATAACAATGTTCGAATTAAATCTCTACATATGAGTAGATGTATATATATATATATATATATATATTTAAAAGATAATGATCAAGTTCATAAAATTTATTATTATTGAATTAACGAAAAAGCTCACAGTATCGAGTTTATTATGCAACTATATAATCATTTACATTATTTACATTTCTATTAAATTGAAGAAAGATGTAAGATAAGTTCAGCACAGCAGTAGTTTATTATGAGTTACCGTGAATATTTATTGTTATAAATAATTTAAGATACGATATAATTCTATATACAGAATTTATCGAAAAAAAAATTACCATAATGTACCATATGTCTGCATTATCATCCAAAGGATCGATGCAAGAGAAACAGCAGTTGCAAAAGATGTAAAAGGCGACACCACACCTTATTACACGAAGATAGTAAATCAAAGGCAAGTAAAAAATCCAATAGCTCATCACCGACTATCATCAACACCTCTAACACCACTACCTGACGAGAAGGTGCAGTCGTCACTCTATCAACACCACTAAGATTACCTACCCTGTTGGCCACTGCCATGACTAAAGTTAGCTCACCATCGACCACGGTAGAAGCACGTCTTTTAATTGACAATGGCTCGGAAGTTACGTTCGCTACAGAAGATCATGTAAAGAAGCTCAATTCACCACACCCAAAACCCATTCTTTCATTTATTATTAATGAAATTGTTATTGCAAACTATAAGAGTGTACAATTGAAAGGCGATTATTATCTTATTTTTATTCAAAAGTTTCGTAAGGAAACATTCGAACATAATTATTAAACAAAAAATTACAAATTATAAATTCCAAGTCCCGTTTCTATATACAAGTATCTTTAATATTAAAAATTTTAAAAAGTTTCGAATAATCTTCACGTACGTAATACCTGTAAAGCATTCAATTTATTATCATTAATTCTCATTTGTAACGAGCGCTTAAAAATGAGCCTGTTACTTTTAATATTCATGTTAATTGAAATTTTGAATCAATCTTACTAATTGTTCTGCGCAAGGTTAATACTGATTGCGAGCTCTTTATTATCGAAACCATATAAACACATTCTGTCTAAAAATAGAGTACCGGGCTAGGAGGGCCAAATATCTACAGTTAGATGAAACTCCCAGATGGTTGATGGAAGGATTGCGGGCAAGTGGACAGAATAGTGCATATATTCAGTAATAAATAGTTTCGTTAATCGTTGTCGTTTATTACGATAATTGCATTAGTTGTGTTATAATGATTTTTAGGTGATGTTTGAATGTTTTTGTTTCTTGAGTTTTGTATTACTATACTCGTGAAAATACTCGTGAACAACCATTTCTATTATTCTTCGCGCTACAGACGTAGTCATTGTTTTAAATGCAATAAACGACCCTTCTTATTTGACAAAAAGAGCGCGGCGAGTCTGTTTATGAGAGAATATTTCGAGAGTTAAAGTATTTGAAAATAATTGAGTGAAAAACATTTCCTAAAATTCATTACAACCTGAAGCCCGGCACGTGCCTCCGGCAATCTTTGCCGCACGTGTGCCTTTAATGTCACCAGACAACGCATGTCATTGTCAAGTACGCAAAATGTTGCCACTTGCATAGGCCAAGCGGCGGAGCTGCTCCAAGACCCCCCCCCCCCCCCCCTTCGAGAGGTGTTAAAGGTGGGGACAACACAGCAGCAAAGGGCTATCTGTGTGGGGAAGTCAAGTCAGAAGGGAGCTCTTACTTATGGGTAAAGACTAATGACCAGTGACTAATTCATAAAAATATTTATTTAAATATTAACAGCAACATTCATTTCGTTTAAATATATTTCTAAAAACTGTATATTTCTATTCAGAATAGTATATCGACCGATTGTTTAATTTATATACAATAGTTTTTCACATCTTATTACATACGTGATTGTTAATGTTTATTTGATAAAATATTTATAATAAATTTATTATCTCCTGCAATAAAAAAATTCTTTACTTTACAATTATATATTTTTTCTTCATTTTATCACTCTTCGGGATTGATGCAGTCCCATGAATTTCAAACAAAAGAAAGGTCTGAGGAAACTGTCTGAGGAAAGTGAGTTATTGCAATAAAACATATCTTTAAATGAATTAAGTATACATTATTACATCAGAAAGAATTATATAAGGTCTTCTTCAAAGACCATGCACACTTAGATGCACCCAGAGCATCTGCTATACTAATCAAAACATTTTTTTGAGGAAGGACCTCGATTGAATTGGAAAAAAGCATTTAAACAAAGGCTATGGCAGCACAAGCTCAATGGGACGAGATCATGCAATCTCAGACTTCTACACAATAGCTGACAATCAGAAGGTATCTCACCGACCTGACCGACCTCTACATGCCACGTTGGCTCAACATAAGGAGCACCTCACACAGAGAACTACATGGATTCTCTGATGCATTAAAATTGACAAAGTCGGCAGTCATGTACGTATGAGTGCACGAATAAAATAAAATAATGGCTATGTAATGTGTTCCAAGACAAAGTAGACATCCACCTTTGCTTAAGAGAATCCCAAGACCAGAGCTTACTGCAGCCTTACTCGATCCGAGGTTCAGATAGTGCGATCTCGGCACAGAGAAAATCGACGTCAAGGCAATCCATTGCTGGAATGATTTACGGTAACCCTCACATGGACAAAGTCCCATCCATCAAGTTGAAAGAAATGCATGAAAACAGGGTTATCCAGCTGTTAGGACAAAACACCAAAGGCGCACTGGAGATGAGTCCCTGGGACTTCAGATCCAGCACATGGTGCACAAAACATACACGCAACATAAATTCAAGAACATCTATTGTGGTGGACAGGACCACCACGGATCCAATTCGCCAGAAGCATGACCATAGCAACTTACACGAGAGAAACAATTTCTATAAGGAAAACGACCCGCTACATCATTGTTGGCCACGGAAACTATATCAAATTTTCATCGAAACAAACAGATAAATATTCTTCGCTGGAAAATTACTAAGGATTTTCATTGTTTGAAAATTCATCAGCAGTTAAAAGAAAAAAAAAACGTGAGCCGCTGCCTACGCTCCACATAACAAAGGAGGCTTTAAGAAGAATCAAAGGATCCCAAGGAAAATGGTAACACCCCTTGAAGACAGATTCTTGAGATCTCTCTCACGGATTAAGTATTGCACATCATAAAAAAGGTTATAAAAAACAGGCTCACTCAAATTTACGACATATTTTTTCCAGATAAGCAATGAACCTGGCCAGCTGCCATACCCGAAGGATAAAATTCATCACCAACTGTGTTGGTGATGGCGGGTGGAATGTTCGGGATTGATGCAGTCCCATGAATTTGAAACAAAAGAAAGGTCATACGCGCTGTCCCACGTACCGCATGTGCGCCTAGACTGACCGAACTCGGCAAGTCCGAGCAAGTTTACGACCCGAAATATAATATACTATAAGATCACCCAAGGGTATTACTCCTACTTTTCTCTCGTCGAACATTCTCGAAGGTTCTAGATTTTTCCTTCGACGCCTCGTGCAAGAATTAGTGCAACAACGACGATGCCTTGTTGCCAGCTAAGTAAGCCGACGCGTGCCCATATAAGGGACGCACGCGGCGCGTCTCGATCTCTTTTGCTGAAGATAGCTCTCGTTGAGAATCATCTCTTGCCGAACCACCCACGCTCAAATGCGCTTGCGACCAACATCTTGCCGTAACCCGACCGCAGTGACCGACCATAGTGAACCGATACAATCATCTACCAGTAGAAGCCATGGCACACGGGTCTCGATCTGCCCTCAGCAGGACCGCCATGGAACGGTCGGTATTTTCAGCAGAGTCGCCACGGAACGATCAAGCCTTCGGTTCGTGCGCGTATTCAAAAGGCTCATACGCTCATTGTAATATCACTTCGCGCTCACTCAAGTGTAACCGCCGCTCAGTGTTTTAGTATACTGTGAAGACGACACGTGGCCA